TGGAGGCAACTGCCGCTGGTCAAGAGGATATGTACGAGCAGACCATGACCATGACAAAGAGAGAAGAGAATGTTGTATCTTCTTATTCCATCAATCAACGTTTATATACATACAAGACTCTAGGGTATACTAGATATGATTCTATCTAAAATGAATTTTAACATAACGGAATATATTATATGATATTTACATAAGACTTCCAAATAGTCCCCCTCAAGTTGGAACATGCAGATCACGTAAGCCCAACTTGCATCTGAGATAAGTAAATTGCTTCAAGCCCAATGCCTTAGTGAATGTCTGCCAGTTGCTCTGTAGTATGGATATGGGCACTAGCGAGTGAGCCATCGAGAATTTCATCTTGCACAAAGTAACAATTCGTTTCGAGGTGTTTTTGTCCTTTCATGAAAATATGGATTAGCCGCTATCTGTAGAGCCGATTTACTATCACAATGAAGACGCATATGTTGTTTATGAGGGACTCCAAAGCATGAAAGAAGTTCACGGTTCCATTTCAATTCCCTCACAGTGAACCCCATCGCTCGATACTTTGCTTCCGTCGAAGAACATGGAATTGTTTCCTGCTTTTTCGTCTTCCATGCAACAGGTGAGTTCCCTAACATGACAATGAACCCTGTCAATGATCTACGAGTCATAGGACATGTAGCCTAGTTGGAGTTGCTATACGCTGTTATTTGTGAGTCAGAGTTCGAGTTTAAGAAAATTCCCTGACCTGGACAGCCTTTTAAGATATTTAACAACTCGTGTTGCTGCTTCCCAATGCTTAGTGCAAGGTTTCTGCATAAACTTAGCAAGCATATGGACAGCATAAGACAGTTCTGGGTGCGTTTACGTAAGATATACCAATCGACCGACCAACCGACGATACCTATCTGGATCATGAAAAAACTGTCCTTCGTCGATAGCTAGTTTTTGATTATGTTCCATTGGAGTAGAAACAGACTGCTGCCGAACAAACCACACTCTTTAACGAAATCTAATGCATACTTCCTCTGCGACAAGTAAAACCCCTCAGGAGACCTTGAAACCTCAATACCAAGAAAGTATTTCAATAGTCCCAAATCTTTTATATGAACACATTAGCTGATATATCCTTTAAACTTCTTGATGGCCTCAGGATAATTAACCCCAATGAATAACTCATCAACATATATCAGTACATAGAGTCTCATCGAGCCACGCGCCAACACAAACAATGATTGATCAGGTATTTTTTGAACGAAACCGTACCCTTCCAGCGCAGTCGTTATCTTTGCGAACCAACATCTTGGTGCTTGTTGAAGACCATATAGCGATTTCCTGACGCTATGCACTTTTGTTTTATCATTGTATTGAAAGCCAGTTGGTAACTTCATATAAACCTCTTCATGTAAATCTCCATGCAAGAATGCATTATGCACATCCATTTGATGAACCTCTCATCCTTTAACCGCAGAAACCTTAAGAAACATGCTAACAGTGGTGATTTTTATGACCGAAGCAAAAGTATCATCATAATCCAATCCTTCAACTTGTCGATTGCCATAGGCAACTAACCGAGCTTTATACCGTTCGACCTCACCATTCGACTTGTACTTAATCGTGAAAACCCACCAGCACCCAATAGTTTTCTTATTCGGTGAGAGATCAGTAAAATCCCATGTTCTGTTTGCGTCCAAAGCTTTAACCTCCATAGAAGCTCGTTGAAAGAAGTAGGTTCATGACCATAATACCTGCAAGAAAAAATCTGTGCGAAGAAGAAAATCTGTCACAATTCATGTAATTTGAAATGGGATATGGGACCGTACCTGACTTTGATGACACTGATGGTGTCGGGTGAGAAGAGAGAGATACAGGGTCATTACGGCACTGTGTCGTATAGACAATAAAACCATCAAGATGAGTGGATTATGTACGTTCACGTGGACTCCATCGTAATGGAGCAACCGTCGTGTCTGGTATGTGTGTATGTTCCTCTATCACTAAAGCAATTTCTTCCACTACATCATCATGTGAAACCTCACTCCCCCTATCTTCATCTCTCCCCTGTCTTCGATCACTGGTTGATTTGTGTTTGCATTCAAATCAACAAGCTCATCATCACACAAGACTCCTTGTTCTTGTAAACGTATCAGAGGCACAGCCTGGTCCTTAGTCGGAGATGACTATGGGAAAACATTTTCTTCAAACACCACATCTCATACTCGCCACCCTTACTGTCCAAAAGTATAACCCATAATTGCACATCGTCGACTTCTTTCCCCAAATTTATCTTTGTCTTGCAATATGTTTGTGCAAAACATAAGCTTCTTTCCAAACACTCTAAGAGAATCATAGCTCGGTGCGACCCCATATAGTATGTCAGAAGGTGTTCTCCAATCTAGCAAACTGGTTGGAGTGCGATTAATAAGGTGACATGCCATTACAACACACTCTCCCCAAAAACATATTGGGACACTAATTTGGAACATCAACGATCTGGCCACATTGAGAATGTGTCTATGCTTCCTCTCGACACGTCCATTTTGTTGTGGCGTGTATACATAACTGGTTTGGTGAATGATCCCTTCTGCTGCAAAATATGACCTCATGCCCATAAGTTCTCCTCCATTATCGCTCCGGACCACTCACACCTTTTTGTTAAATTGTCGTTCTACCATCTTGAAAAAAGTCTTTAGATTCTCGCCCACTTTCTCTTTGCTTTCAACAAATAACCCCAAACCTCTCTCGAGTGATCGTCGACAATAGTTAGAAAATACGCAACACTACAAGTAGAGAGGGTGCGATAAGCTCCTCAAACATCACAATGCGTTAAATAAAAAAACTGCAATAGCTTTATTTGAACTTTCTTGAAAACAGTCCTGGGTTTGTTTTGCCCTTAGAAAAATCTCACGAGCAGTTTTCAACTCAATTTTCCAAAATCTACAAGTACTAGATAAGTGAGATAAAACACGACATAAAGGATGACCCATACGACGATGCCACAAGTTAGATGAACCCATCTTAACCACCTTATTGACTTGTGTACCAATCACTCCTTGAAAGACATACACTCCCACTCTCTCTCTTCACTCGCTCCAATCAGCGTCTTTGTGGTACGGTCCCGTAAAACACAAAGATCTTCAGTAAAAGTGATGGATCCTTTAACAGTTTTAAGAAGCTTAGCAACATATATCAAATAACACGTGAATTCTTTGGAGTATAACACTCCTTTCAGCCACAGATCTCCACCGAGACATAAGCCTCCTTGCTTTGTCGCCACAGCAGTATCACCATCTTGTAGATCGATGGCGCATGGGTGAATGTTTACAACATTCCTCAAGTAATCAAGATCACATGTCATATGGTGTGAGGCCCCTGTATCAATAGTCAACTCGCCACACTTTGTCTTACCATTCAATTTCTCATCGGTTTCTGTTTTCTTTGAGGAGAGAAAACTCATAAGAGCTGTCCATTGATTATCATTCGGCTGAGGAAGTGTTGCATTGTCGTAGTCTCCTTCATTCCTAGTCATGTTTTCTTGCATTGCTCCTGCATGCAGCACTTGTGCTGCTTTTCCCCTCGCATAAGACCCTCGACCTCTGCCTGACTGTCCCACAACACCACCTCCACGACCAGTTCGACCCCGAGTTCCTCCGTCTCGTCCTTGTTCACCAAAATCATGCCCTCTTTTACCCCACCAATCCTCAGTCAACTGAAAGCAATCTGCCTGTGCATGTCCATACTTCCCACAATGAGTACATGTAACGTCTTTCTCACGGTAGTGAGCCTGAGAGGAATTTCCTCTGTTCCCAGCCGTGACAGCAAAGCCAACAGTATCGGTAGCAGTTGTTGGGGTCCGTTTCCACCCCAACAAGTTTACCCACCTCTAAAAAAGACTAAGTGTTTGAGATATTATGTCTAGCTATGCCCGATCCGAGCTGGGCCCCTTTTTTGATGGGCTGAACCCTGTTTAGGAGCAAGTTAGGCCGAGCCGTGAGAAGGAGCAAGTGGGCCGAGCCCTACTAAGGTGTGAGTTAGGCCGAGCTTCGTGAAAGGGATAGTGTGCCGAGCTTAAAAGGAAATGTAGGCGAGCTGCATCGCAAGACGTGTGGGCCAAGCTGATGCGAAGGCTAGCAGGCCTAGCCGCAGAGGATGAAGCCCATGCAAAAACCCTAGGTGAAACGTTAAGGCGGCCGACGCGCAAGGAGATAAGGAAATATTTCGAGAATCTCTCCCGAGATTCTCGGTTACGTGGTTTACAGAACTTGTATAAATAGTCAATCTATGTTATTCGCAATGTAACTTTTGCAACCCTAAACACTTTCACAGCAGTAAAAATCCCCTTTTGATCTTTTGTTATGTCGAGAAAACCCTAGAGATTTCCGATCCCTTAAAAGTTACTTAACAAATTTTGGTTGTGCGAGTTTTGTCTCATACAATTTTGCGCCGTCTGTGGGGAATCAAAATCTTCTTACTCGAAAATATCCTAAGATCCGAAGAGTATGGCAAGCAACACCTCTGACGACGTGAACAACAACAATACCAAAAACAATACCAACAACAGCGGCACGGAAAAGGATGCTCCCCTATCAAGTACGACAACAACAACCACCCAATCCCATGACGAGATGCGGAACATGTGGGTACTCAGAAAAGACATCAAGGAGCTGTAGAGCAAGCTGGATAAGGTACTAGTGGGTACTCAGAAGGTAATGCATTTTGTTGGAAAATTTGATGACCAAGCTACTTGATTTGAGAATGTGAATGAGGGATTAACACAAGAAGAGCTGCATTACATAGGGAATCAAAACAAGTTTCAGAGGTATAACAACTATAACAACCCAAACTTTTCATACAGAAATCCAAATGTAGCTAATCCAGGAGATCAGTTATATCCCTCTCAACAAGCTCAGCAAAGCTATGTTCCCAAGAATCAGTTTGAAGGGAATTTTCAGAGCAAGCAGCAATATATTGAATAACCTCTGCAGAATCAAGGAGGTGACTTCACTAGTCAGCCGCCTATGAAAAAGTTTCCACCAAGGTTTGGACAGCAGCATCACGGTCAGCAGATGGGTTCAGACTTAAGTGGGGTTCTACAGCAGATACTTCAGGGTCAGCAAAGGGTTGAGAACAGTTTTACTAATCTGAGTTCCAAGTATGAAGCTATGTAACATCAGCTGAAAGGTATTCAAAAGAATCAAGCCTCTTCCTCATCTAGAACAGAAGGAACACTTCCTGTGAAACCTGAGCCAAACCCAAAGGAGTATGACCATGCCATTACACTCAGAAGTGGTAAAGAGCTACCAGAGAGAGAACAAAGACCTGTGCTCATTGAGGACAATGTTCAACTTGGTGGGGAGGTGCCTCAAGGGAGTCTAGATGATGAAGCTGTAAAGAATGATAAAGGCAAAGGTGTGGCAAAGGATATGGTGCATGAGAAACCATATGTGCCACCAGCACCTTGTCAGCCCAAAATTCCATTTCCAGGAAGGTTCAAGAAGCAACTCTTAGATAAGGCTAGAGAACTACAAGGAATAGTAGTCTTAACCCATGAGTGTAGTGCAATTATTCAGAGAAGGAAAATCCCTAGGAAGCTATCTGATCCAGGGAGCTTTACATTGCCTTGCACTATTGGTCCTATTGAGTTTGCCAGCTGCCTATGTGATCTTGGAGCATCAGTGAGCTTAATGCCTTTCTCAATTGCAAAGAAGTTGGTGTTCACAGTTTACAAGCCAGCAAGGATATCTTTGGTAATTGCTGATAGATCAGTTAAGTTCCCCATTGGACTCCTTGAAGATCTACCTGTTAATATAGGAGACTTTGAAGTCCCAACTGACTTCATTGTCTTGGAGATGGATGAAGAGCCTGTAGATCCTCTCATTTTGGGGAGACCTTTCCTTGCTACAGCAGGAGCTATAATTGATGTGAGAGGAGGAAAGATAGATCTCCATCTAGGGTCCTATAGATTTATGTCAATGAAGCCATGAAGAAACCTACCATTGAGGGCCAGGTATTCTATATAGAAGCCATAAAGAAGCTTGCTGATGAGCTTCTTGAAGAGTTTAACACTGAAGATCATCTTCAAATTGCCTTGACTAAAGAACATGGTGAGTATGGGTACTAGGAGGATGAGACCCTTGGATTTATGAAGCTTAATGATTCTCACAAACCAGTAGGGTCAAAAACTCAGCTTTTGGAGCTGGAAACAAGCGGCCAAATGGATCAGAGTATCACTGGGTTCAGAATAAGTCATGGACTAGTTCAAGAGTGCATGGCTATGGGTTTGGAAGCTGAGGAAGAGGCTAGACCGGCTGAGGACACCAGCAACAATGAAGCTCAGGCTGATCAAGAGAGCTTCATGGGAGACTGGGATGAACACAAAGCTCCATCTGTTGAGCTTAAGCCACTCCCAAAAGGGCTCATGTATGCATTTCTTGGCACTAATTAATCTTATCCTATGATCATCAATGACAGCCTATTAGTTTATGAAGATAATGCTTTGCTCAACGAACTAAGAAAGTATATGAGAGATATAGGCTATTCCCTAGATGACATTAGAGGGATCTCACTGACTTATGCACCCATATGATACATCTGGAAGAGGAATCAATGACCTCTATAGAGCATCAAAGGAGATTAAACCCCAATCTCAGAGATGTTGTTAAGAAAGAGATCCTCAAACTCCTTGAGGCAGGAATAATTTATCCTATTTCTGACTCAATATCGGTTTCTCCAGTACACATTGTTCCTAAAAAGGGTGGCATAACAGTGGTCAGGAATGAGAAGGATGAGCTCATATCCACTAGGACTGTAACAGGGCATATAAATGTGCATTGATTATAGGAAGTTGAATGCTGCATTAAGAAAAGATCATTTTCCACTTCCTGTCAGTGATCAAATGCTTGAGAGACTTGCCGATCATCCTTATTACTGTTTTCTAGATGAATACTCAGGGTTTTTCCAAATTCCAATAGACCCTAAAGACTAAGAGAAGACAACATTCACCTGCCCTTATGGCACCTATGCTAACAGAAGAATGCCTTTTGGTCTGTGTAATGCGCATGCCACCTTTCGAAGGTGTATGATGTCGATTTCCTCTGACCTGATAGAAGAGAAAGTTGAGGTGTTATGGATGATTTTAGCGTCTATGGACCCTCCTTCTCTTCTTGTTTATCTAATCTGTCTTTGGCGCTAAGGAGAAGTGATGAGACAAGCTTGGTGCTGAATTGAGAGAAGTGCCATTTCATGGTGCAAGAAGGCATTATATTGGGGCACAAGGTATCTGAAGCTGGAATAGAGGTTGAGAAGGACAAGGAGGATGTCATGGTTAACTTGGTGGCTCCAAATTCAGTGAAAGGAGTCATAAGCTTTTTGGGACATGCTGGGTTCTACAGAAGGTTCATCAAGGAATTTTTCAAAGATAGCAATACCCTTGACATGGCTTCTATGCAAAGATGTGGAGTTCCTTTTTGATCAAGAGTGAATTGAAGCTTTTGAGAAGATCAAGCAAGCTCTGATAAGTGCTCCCATTGTTCAAGCACCAGATTGGAGCTTGCCCTTTGAGATCATGACTGATGCATCAGACTTTGCAGTTGGTGCTGTGCTGGGACAAAAGAAAGACAAGAAGCTTCATGTCAGCTACCAACTGAGAAGGAAATGTTGGCTATTTTCTATGCTTTTGACAAGTTTATGTACTATTTGGTGGGGTCTAAAGTGGTGGTCTACACAGATTATGCAGCTTTGAGATATCTAATGACAAAGAAGGATGCAAAACCAAGGCTGTTGAGATGGGTATTGCTACTACAGGAATTTGATATGGAAATCAAAGACAAGAAAGGCATTGAAAATGGAGTAGCTGATCACTTGTCTAGACTAAGAGTATGTCCCTCTTAATGATTCTCTCCCTGAAGAGCAATTGATGATGTTGAGGGCTTTGAATGAGCTGGAAGAGATCAATTCCATCAAAGAAAGGGGTTTTCCATGGTTTGTTGACGTTGTGAGCTATCTCTCATGTGGAGTGGAGCCCCCAGAAATGAGCAACTATCAGAGAAAGAAGTTCTTCAAGGATATCAAGAGGTTCTTTTAGGATGAGCCATACTTGTATGTGCTTAACAAGGATCCAAGGATCTTGTTGGAGTGCCATGGATCTGCTTATGCTGGGCACAATGCTGATTTCAAAACTGTGGCAAAGATCTTACAATCAGGGTTTTGGTGGCCCAACATGTTCATAGATGCACAAGAATTTGTCATCAGGTGTGATGTCTGCCAAAGAGCTGGGAACATCTCCAAGAGGAATGAAAAACCTCAGAATCCAATCTTGGAGGTGGAGATCTTTGATTGTTGGGGTATAGACTTCATGGGCCTTTAATATCTTCTCATGGGAACCAATACATTCTGGTGGCGGTGGATTATGTCTCCAAATGGGTTGAAGCTGTGGCAAGTCCAACCAATGACGCTAAAGTGGTGGTGAAGCTGTTTAAAACCATCATTTTCCCAAGATTTGGAGTGCCTAGGGTTGTTATAAGTGATGGTGGAAGCTACTTTGTGAATAAGAGCTTGGAGGGACTTCTTAAGAAGTATGGAGTCAAGCATAAGGTAGCAAGTCCTTCTCACCCTTTGACAAGTGGGCAGGTGGAGGTTTCAAACAGACAAATTAGATGATGCATTGTGAGCTTATAGGACAGCTTTCAAAACTCCTATTGGTACGTCACCCTTCAATCTCCTTTATGGGATAGCTGCCACTTGCTTGTGGAACTAGGGTACAAGGCAATGTGGGCTGTCAAGCTCCTTAACTTTGACATAAAAACTGCCCAGGAGAAAAGGCTTTTACAGCTTCATGAGCTTGAAGAGATAAGGCTTGATGCCTATGAAAGCTCAAGGATCTATAAGGAGAGGACCAAGACCTTTCATTATCAGAAGATAATGAAGAGGGACTTCAAAGAGGGGGATCAAGTGCTTTTTTTTCAACTTAAGGCTTAAGATTTTCCCAGAAAAACTAAGATCAAGATGGTCAGGCCCTTTCAAGATCCTAAAAGTGAGAAGCTATGGAGCCATTGAACATGAAGGAAAAGATGGGAATGGATTTTTGGTGAATGGGCAAGGGTTCAAGCCTTATTTGGCTAGTGAAATCAAAGAGAGAGCTTCTTCAGTCTCTCTTGGTGAACCCCTCTCATCTTGAAGGGTATGAAAAGTCAAATTTAGATACTTAAAACAAAGTGCTCTTGGGAGGCACCCCATGCTTATCCTTGTATATAGTTCTTTCTTGCTTTATTTTGCTGTTTTTAGGATGTTTTGATGTTTTGTTTAAGTATGGACAGGTTTAGGAGTGGTCTGTGTGAGCCAAAACTCGCACAACCAAAGATTTGTAAAGAAACTAAGGGATCGGAAACTTCTAGGGTTTATCGCCAAAGACAGTAAGATCAAAAGAGAGCTTTTCTTGCTGTGAAAGTGTTTCGTTCTTATTGCTTAGGGTTGCCAAAGTTCGCGGAATGAATTACATACATCATATATTTATACTGACTTTCTAAACCGCCTAGCCGAAAATCTCGGGCGAGATTTTCGGAATATATCCTTATCGCCTCGTGCGGCTGACTGCCTTTGCATCTCGCCTAGGGTTTTCCGTGGGCTTCACCTCTCAAAGCTCCGGTTCGGCCCATCATGCTTCTTTACGGCTCGGCCCATATTGCCTTCGTTACGGCTCGGCCCGCCTAATTTCTCCACGGCTCGGCCCGCTTGACATGATTCGCTCCACCTCACCGCGGCACGGCTCGGCCCAAGTGTTTAAGACAGGGGCTCGGTCCATTTTATGTTATACGGCTCGGCCCATCTCCTTCTTCTCGGCTCTCCCACTTGGCGATCGCGGCTCTCCCGCCTTTCTTGGTGGAAACGGCTCTCCTTCTTGCCTTGGTGAGAACGGCTCTCCCATTTGATGGCCACGGCTCTCCCATTTTCTATACTTAGTTATATTGGGATGGTTTTATCTGTGTGGGGTGGAAACCGACCCCAACAGTTAGCCCCCCAGCTCGTCAATCTCGGAGTCGAGAATGACGAGGTACATTACTCCTGACCACGAGATAAACCATCGAGCCGAGCTGCTACGACACGAGCCCAGATTCATGTTTTGGGAGTGTAAGTGCCGAGGTGTTTCCAAGGAGTGCCGAAGATGCCGAGGCGAATCGGGGACGAAGCGATTTGGTGACAGTTATGCCGAGCCGAATATATGGCTAGGCGTTTCGAGTGAAAGTTCATGCCGAGCCGTGTTGTTAACGACGAGGTGTTTCAAGAACAAGGGTCAGTGCCGAGCCGTTTAACGACGAGGTGTTTCAAGAACATGGGTTTGTAACGAGCCGTTTAACGACGAGGTGTTTCAAGAACAAGGGTTTGTAACGAGGCGTTTAACGACGAGGCGTTTCGAGAGAGATCTAATGCCGAGCCGTTTTGTTTAACGACGAGGCGTTTTTTGAGAGATAGATAATGCCGAGCCGTTTTGTTTAACGACGGGGCGTTTCGAGAGAGATCTAATGCCGAGCCGTTTTGTTTAACGACGAGGCGTTTTGAGAGAGATAGTTAATGCCGAGCCTTTTCGTCAGACGATGAGGCGATGCAAGTGAGAGAGAGTCTTTACCAAGTCGTTTCGTTATCCTGGGTACCCTGACTGTTGGTCTTCTAAGAGGAAGTACCGGATCTTTCGGCACGTGCCAATGACGCAAACCGGTATGACCAATTCGCCGCGGATCCCACGCGCTGTTGAACGGCTTCCCGAGGTTCACACGGAATTCACGCGCTTCGATTTTCTATAAATAGGTGAGCTCCTTCACTTCTCCTCATTATTTCCCGACTCACTCGTTTTCACTAAAGGTAGCTCTCCCTTCTCTCTTCTTTCTCTCTCTAGTTTATTTATTTTCCGGCTAGGGTTTCCGAGGTCTCCGCCATTCCAGATCTTTTTCCGGTAGAGGCTCGTCGAGTCAAGTTGTAATTCATTGTAAAAGTTGTAAAGTATGTCGAACCGTTCCGACGAGTCGTTAGATCCGCTTTTCCACTACGAGCCGAGCCGTATAGACGCCGAGGCGAGGGGTGCGATGGATTCTTCCGAGGCGTCTGCTTTGCCGAGCCGTTCTCACCATTCATCTGACGAGGCGTCAAATGATGAAAACCCATCAGATGTCGGCTCTCCGAATGGCGAGCCGTCGGTTTCGACGAGCCGTCCCCAGGATCCCGCTCCTAACGAAGGCATTAACCGAGCCGCGCTCAAGGCCGAGGAGGAGGCATTTCCCTTTGATCTTTTCGAGGCGAAGCTTGAGTTAGAACGCCTCATGGCGTCCCAAGGTGCTTCCACATCTGGGCGAGCACCGAGAGTTAAGAGGCAAAAACCCGACCCGCCTGGGTCTACACTCTGCTCCCTTGAGTCGCTCGAAGCGTTGAGGCATCGCTTCGGAATATCCGAGGCGGTGGAGTTCGTTGTCCCAGAGAAAAGCGACCGCGCCGACAACCCTCCAGAGAATCATTTCACTCTGTACGAGGCGTTCTTCGAGCTTTGCTTCCTCTGGTTCCCAATCCCCGGAGTGATCCTCGAATACCTTTGGAAACACGGGATCTCGATCGGGCAGATTATGCCGAGGGGACTGCGGCATATGATCGGCATTTTAGTCCGAAGCTTCGAATGCGGTCTTGACATTGAGCTGAACCACCTGCTTAACTTGCTGGAAATCAGGAAGGCTCCGAAAGGAAACAGGTTCTATATTTCTAACAAGGCGAAACGACGGATTATCGGCGGTTTTCCCAGCAAGGACCAGTTCTTGACTGAACGCTTCTTCTACGTTTTAGTGAACGAGGCGTCGGTCGGCGAGGATTACGTTTGCCGAACCAAGACCGCTTGGGGACCACTTGGTAGCCAACCCGAAGCTTTGCCTCGGCTCGGAGATTTTGTTCAAACTTTCTTCCTTTTCTGACACTTATCTTTTTTTGCTTTGTTTTGCAGTTCGGTGCTATCTTCCCCCGATTCCCGACGATCTGTTCACCGTTCGAGACTCTCTTTCGGCGCGGAAGGTTAATTGGAGAAAAAATTTCACCCTCGAGAGAGTAGAGAAGGCGCGAGCCATTCTTGCAGGAGTTCCCGTCAGCTCTTCGTCCTCCAGTTCCTCCAGAGATACCCGCGAAAAGATGGTGATCTTAACCCTCCGAGAAAGGAAGAGACGCGAACAGGAAGAAGCCGCTAGACGAGCTGCCGAGGCGGCCTAGGCGCAGGCCGAGGTGGTTCCGGCGCAAGCCGAGGTCACCCCTCAAACCGACCCGCCGAACCGGGATGAAACGACCCGAGCTGCGGAGGGTAATACGACCGAGGTGGTCGAAAGAGATGTGGCGCCCGAGGTGGAACAGGGCGAAATTGTTCCCGAGGCATCTGGGGGCGATTCGGCGGTTCGGGACAAAGAGCCTTCGAACTCCGCTATTCTAGCCCTCCCGAAGTCGACGAGGCCCCCGACTTCCGTCGTGCAGAAACACGACCCGAGACAAAAACGTTCGGCTGCTGATAAAGGGAAGGGGTCGCTGTTGAGAGGGACGAGCCGTCCAAGAAGAGACGGAAGCCGACGCCCGGAGAGTCCGCCGCGCGTAAGTTGGTCGTCGATGACCCCGACGCCTCCGCCATAATGTTCTCGCGTGTAAATAATGCGAACACGCGTCTTCCTCCTCCGGAGAAGTTGAGGAGGCCGAGGTCCTACAGCGCAATGGCGCAGCGCGGGACCAAGGTACATTCCATTTTGCTTTCCTTTGCTTTCGTGAATTTTCGCTAAGTATTTGACACGAGTTTATTTTCTGCAGTTTATCGCGGCCATTAACGACCTAATGGCCGAGTACGAGGCGGACCTATCTAAGGTCGAACGTCGCTTGGCCGAGGCCAAAATTGAGTCCACAGCGTCGAAAACAAAGCTGGAAGAGGCTCAGACTGAAGCCGCGGCGGTAAAGGGGAAACTGGACGAGGCGACGGCCAGGGCGTCCAGGCTGGAAGAGGAGAAGATCGTTCTGCGTGCAAACGTAGATAGAGTCTCCGCCTCGGTCATTCGCCTTGAGGAGGCGAGGAGAGCCAAAAGTGCCGAGGTGGCGATGCTGAAGAGGCGTATCGAGGCCAAGGATGCCTTGTTTGATGCTAAGGTCAAGAGGGCGAAAAAGGAGGCGAGGCAAGAGCTTACAGCGAAGTTTCAAGAACGCCTCGCCAAGGTGGAGGAGGGTCTGGTTCGGCTTGAAAAAGCCAAAAATGACGAGAATGATCTGGGACAGATCAAAGGCAATCTGGCGATGATTGCCGACCTGAAGAAACCAGATGCCCCGACGCTCGACGACGAGGAAGCAAAGCTGAAAAGCTGGGAAAGCGAGTATGCCGACGAAGGGGCGTACGAGCGCATTGCTTCCGAGATTCGGGGCGAGCTGTACTATTCTCCCGTTTCGCCGGACTCAGTTGACACAACCCTCGGTAACGAGCCGATCGAAGAAACAGCGGCTAATTTAGGCGTTGTCGACCCGAACGGCTCGAATGCGGGCACGCCGATTCCCTCGAACCTTCTCGCCGATCGTGAGACGCAATCCGCGGCATGAGTTTTGGCTCACAAATTTTTCTTGCTTGTTTTTGTACTTAGATTTTTACCCGCTCCTTGTTGAACTTTTATGTGTTTTGTGCCTGGACGGCTTTATCCACCCGACTCTTTATTTTTGCTTAATGGATATATTTTCCTTAGCCGTTTTTCGGATTTACTTGTCCGTTAATTCGTAGAAGTGTTTACGTAAACTTGTCGAGGACGAGGGCTGTTATGTCGATATTTGCCTTAACTGTATTTTCGAAATTGACCGGAACGCGGGCTAAGGGATGAGTTGTTTTAAGGACCTCGTTTAGGTTCAAGGCAAATTTTGATAGTAAAAGAGTGTTACGCGATAATGTTCAAGGCAAGTTTTTGTTGGTAATGTCGAGCCGTGCTTACGGCGAGGCATTT